CGATTCCTGACATGGCAAAGAAAAGCTTTTTATTTGTACATTGTCTGGTGCGTTCTTTCTACTTCTTTCTATGAGTGCCAGTCAATACGTATCTATTTGTTTATTGTCTGGTGCGTTCTTCTGCCTTTCTACTTCTTCCTATGAGTGCCAGTCAATACGTATCTATTTGTTTATTACATGTAATATCTCTACGGAATATTTGTCGGTGTCTAAGACACTCACTTGTATAAGATATTCCAAAATTATTGACATCAATTGTTTCAGAAAAAAAAAAAAAAAAGTCAAATGTACTTATGGCACCAGTTTTAAGGAAGTAAAGGACCCTTTTCCCATGCCTTTAGGCGTATTGGGCATATAGGGCTAGATCTATATTTTAGAGAGCAATCGGCAATTTGTGGGTGATGTGGTCCACATCACGCAGGCCACATTTACTTCCCAGGACTGCAGCTGGTACTCAATCAAAGCTGGGTCGACCTGTGAACTAAGGTTATTTTTAAAAAAAAAATCTGGCTCCATCAGGACCCGAACCTACGACTTTCCGATCCGCAGGCGAGCTTTTAGCGGCCAAACCTCGGTGACTCCCCACCAATTTCAATACATGTCTTCAATTCCAGCCAAGTTGTCCCTAAGTTGTGCACTCTCTTCTTTGTTCAGTTGTCCCCAAGTTGTGCACTCTTTTCTTTGTTCATTTGTCCCCAAGTTGTGCACTATCTTCTTTGTTCATTTGTTCCCAAGTTGTGCACTCTTTTCTTTGTTCATTTGTCCCCAAGTTGTGCACTATCTTCTTTGTTAATTTGTTCCCAAGTTGTGCACTCTTTTCTTTGTTCATTTGTCCCCAAGTTGTGCACTATCTTCTTTGTTTATTTGTCCCTAAGTTGTGCACTCTTTTTTTTTGTTCATTTGTCCCCAATTTGTGCACTATCTTCTTTGTTTATTTGTCCCTAAGTTGTGCACTCTTTTCTTTGTTCATTTATCCCCAAGTTGTGCACTATCTTCTTTGTTCATTTTTTACCAAGTTGTGCACTCTTTTCTTTATTCATTTGTCCCCAAGTTGTGCAATCTCTTCTTTGTCCATTTGTCCCCAAGTTGTGCACTCTCTTCTTTGTTCATTTGTCCCCAAGTTGTGCACTCTTTTCTTTGTTCATTTGTCCCCAAGTTGTGCACTCTCTTCTTTGTTCATTTGTAAGCTACATTTTGTGCGTCTTACACACCAACAAGTACGGTACTTTTTGACTTAACTTTTTTTTCCTTTAAAATTTGTAAATAAAATCATCTGACTGTGGTTATACTGTGGGTGGGCACTTTGTGTAAAGTAAACCCTTTTCTCTATTGATACTGTGCACTCGTTAAGCGACAAAAACAGTATCATTTTCCAATCCTAGGCGATGTTAGTATTGCACATTGGTTTAATATTCCTGAACGTGTTTCACCTTTGTCTGTTATAAATTTGCACTCATTTATAATAAAAACACTTTTCAGTTTAAAACATGCACCCAGCCAGTGATATAAACAGTTATCAGTTTATAACATGCACCCAGCCAGTGATATAAACAGTTATCAGTTTAAAACATGCACCCAGCCAGTGATATAAACACTTGTCAGTTTATAACATGTACCCAGCCAGTGATATAAACAGTTATCAGTTTATAACATGCACACAGCCAGTGATATAAACAGTTATCAGTTTAAAACATGCACCCAGCCAGTGATATAAACACTTGTCAGTTTATAACATGCACCCAGCCAGTGATATAAACAGTTATCAGTTTATAACATGCACACAGCCAGTGATATAAACACTTGTCAGTTTAAAACATGCACCCAGCCAGTGATATAAACAGTTATCAGTTTATAACATGCACACAGCCAGTGATATAAACAGTTATCAGTTTAAAACATGCACCCAGCCAGTGATATAAACACTTGTCAGTTTAAAACATGCACCCAGCCAGTGATATAAACACTTGTCAGTTTAAAACATGCACCCAGCCAGTGATATAAACAGTTATCAGTTTAAAACATGCACCCAGCCAGTGATATAAACAGTTATCAGTTTATAACATGCACCCAGCCAGTGATATAAACACTTGTCAGTTTATAACATGCACCCAGCCAGTGATATAAACACTGTGGTGTAGATAGAGGTTGATGAGCGCATTCCACAATCTTAGACTTTCTAGGGTTTGACCTGCTCGCTGTCTGATGCAGAAACAATACTGAGGGTGGTGATGATGATGGTGATGATGATGGTGATGATGATGGTGATGATGATGGTGATGATGATGGTGATGATGATGGTGATGATGGTGATGGTGATGGTGGTTATGATGATGAGGGTGATAGTGATTGTGATGATGCTGATGATGGTGATGATAGTGATGGTGATGATGATTATGGTGGTGATGGTGATGATGATGGTGATGGTTATGATGATGGCGATGGTGATGATGATGGTTAAGGTGATGGTGATGATGGTGATGATGTTGGTGATGGATATGATGATGGTGATGGTGATGATGATGGTGATGGTGATGATGATGGTGATAATGATGGTGATAATGATGGTGATGGTGACGATGATGGTGATGATGATAATGATGATGATGATGATAATGATGGTGATGGTGATAGTGATGATGATGGTGATGATGGTGTTAGTGATAATGATTATGGTGATGATTGTGATGATGACGGTGATGGTTATGATGATGGTGATGGTGATGATTGTGATGATGATGGTGATGGTGATGATGACTGTGATGATGATGGTGATGATGGTTATGGTGATGATGATGGTGATAATGATGATGGTGGTGATGGTTATGATGTGGTTATGGCGATGGTGACTGTGATGATGAGGGCGATGATGACTGTGATGATGATGGTGATGGTGATGATGACTGTGATGATGAAGGTGATGGTGATGATGATGATGACTGTGATGATAAAGGTGATGGTGATGATGATGGTGATGGTGATGGTGATGATGATGGTGATGATGATGGTGATGATGACTGTGATGATGATGGTAATGGTGATGATGACTGTGATGATGATGGTAATGGTGATGATGACTGTGATGTTTTACAAGTACAGCAAAACAAAAACCGTCCACATTGTACCTGTTCCATTTAGGAGCAGCATATTCGTGTCGATAAGACAGAAGTCGATCGACTATCGCCACGCATTTACTACGACTTCAGTTCACACCTGACTGAATAGCTGCGTTCTGTTGACTTATATCCGTGCATAAGTTCGATTGACAACCGCCTCAGATTCCTGGAGGAAAAAAAAAAAACGTTGGCGAGCACGTCGCAAAATGTGTTGTAGAAGCCTGACTCATTACCTGTGCCTCACGGATAACAACAGTTGAAGTTATACTTGTAGGTGTTCATTGATGTTTTCTTTCGTACAGTCTAGAGACAGAAGTTGTAGGTGTCGATTGATGCTTTTGTTTCCTATAGTCTAGAGGCAGTAGTTGATTGTAGCTGTTGTTTGATGCGTTTGTTTCCCTTTGTCTAGAGACAGAAGTTGATTGTAGGTGTTGATTGATGTTTTTGCTTCGTATTGTCTAGAGACAGAGGTTGTGCGTGATGATTGATGCTTTTGTTTCGTGTAGTATAGAGACAGTAGTAGCTCGTTATTGTTGATTGATGCTTTTGTTCCCTCTAGTTTAGAGGCAGGAGTCGTAGATTGTAAATGTTGATGATGCCTTGGGTTCCTCTAGTCTAGAAACACTAGTCGTAGATTGTAGATATTGATGGATGCTTTCGTTCCCTCTAATCTAGAGACACTAATTCTTGATTGTAGATGTTGATGAGGCCTTTTGTTCCCTTTAGTCTAGAGGCACTAGTCGTAGATTGTAGATGTTGATGATGCCTTTGTTCCCTCTAGAATAGAAACACTAGTCGTAGATTGTAGATGTTGATGATGCCTTTGTTCCCTCTAGAATAGAAACACTAGTCGTAGATTGTAGATGTTGACTGGTGCTTTTGTTCCTTCTAGTATAGAGACAGGAGCCGTAGATTGTAGATGTTGACTGATGCCTTTGTTCCTTCTAGTATAAAGACAGGAGCCGTAGATTTTAGTTGTTGATTGATGCTTTTGTTCCCTCTAGTATAGAGACACTAGTCGTAGATTTTAGTTGTTGATGATGCCTTTGTTCCTTCTAGTATAGAGACAGGAGTCGTAGATTTTAGATGCTGATTGATGCTTTTGTTCTTTTTAGTACAGAGGCACTAGTCGTAGATTGTAGATGTTGATGATGCTTTTGTTTCCTCTAGAATAGAGACAGGAGTCGTAGATTGTAGATGTTGATTGAAGCTTTTGTTCCCTATAGTCTAGAAACACTAGTCGTAGATTGTAGATGTTGATGATGCCTTTGTTTCCTCTAGAATAGAGGCAGGAGTCGTAGATCGTTGATGTTGACTGGTGCTTTTGTTCCTTCTAGTATAGAGACACTAGTCGTAGATTGTAGATGTTGATGATGCCTTTGTTTCCTCTAGAATAGAGGCAGGAGTCGTAGATCGTAGATGTTGACTGATGCCTTTGTTCCTTCTAGTCTAGAGACACTAGTCGTAGATTGTAGATGTTGATGATGCCTTTGTTTCCTCTAGAATAGAGGCAGGAGTCGTAGATTGTAGATGTTGATTGAAGCTTTTGTTCCCTTTAGTCTAGAAACACTAGTCGTAGATTGGTGATGTTGATGATGCCTTTGTTTCCTCTAGAATAGAGGCAGGAGTCGTAGATCGTAGATGTTGATCGATGCTTTTGTTTCATGTAGTCAAGAGGCAGAAATCGTAAACTGGTGCTTGTGAGAATCAACAGGCCTCAGTGTTCTGAATCAGACCGATTTGCTCTCAACCATTGATATCAACATAAGACTTGCTGCAGCCACGCCTCAGCTAGCTCTTTTCAAGCGGTCACGTTTATAACTGTTGCTACACACCCTTTCCATAAGTGTTCACCTGCAGCCCGCACACGCACACACACACAGGCACATGATGGCCAAACACATCCCTCCAGCACTGCTGCTGGCACCTCCGACCTCCAGCTCTTCTACAAACAATTCGTCAAGGGATCCGCTTCTGTCCCCAGAGCTGAGAGAAGCCTTCCGGCTCTTCGACAAGGACGGCGACGGTTCCATCTCTACTGAAGAGCTCGGCACAGTTATGCGAAACTTGGGCCAGTTTCCTTCGGTGGATGAGCTCAATCAGATGTTGCAGGAGATAGATATTGATGGTAAGTCAGATGTTGATGGTAAGTCAGATGTTGCAGGAGATAGATATTGATGGTAAGTCAGATATTGATGGTAAGTCAGATGTTGATGGTAAGTCAGATGTTGCAGGAGATAGATATTGATGGTAAGTCAGATATTGATGGTAAGTCAGATGTTGCAGGAGATAGATATTGATGGTAAGTCAGATGTTGCAGGAGATAGATATTGATGGTAAGTCAGATGTTGATGGTAAGTCAGATATTGATGGTAAGTCAGATGTTGATGGTAAGTCAGATATTGATGGTAAGTCAGATGTTGATGGTAAGTCAGATGTTGCAGGAGATAGATATTGATGGTAAGTCAGATGTTGCAGGAGATAGATATTGATGGTAAGTCAGATGTTGCAGGAGATAGATATTGATGGTAAGTCAGATGTTGATGGTAAGTCAGATGTTGATGGTAAGTCAGATGTTGCAGGAGATAGATATTGATGGTAAGTCAGATGTTGATGGTAAGTCAGATGTTGATGGTAAGTCAGATGTTGCAGGAGATAGATATTGATGGTAAGTCAGATGTTGCAGGAGATAGATATTGATGGTAAGTCAGATATTGATGGTAAGTCAGATGTTGATGGTAAGTCAGATGTTGCAGGAGATAGATATTGATGGTAAGTCAGATGTTGCAGGAGATAGATATTGATGGTAAGTCAGATATTGATGGTAAGTCAGATGTTGCAGGAGATAGATATTGATGGTAAGTCAGATATTGATGGTAAGTCAGATATTGATGGTAAGTCAGATGTTGCAGGAGATAGATATTGATGGTAAGTCAGATGTTGCAGGAGATAGATATTGATGGTAAGTCAGATGTTGCAGGAGATAGATATTGATGGTAAGTCAGATGTTGCAGGAGATAGATATTGATGGTAAGTCAGATGTTGCAGGAGATAGATATTGATGGTAAGTTTCACTTTTGATGTCAGTAGTCAGCATCCTTGTTATGACCCCCAGCCGATAAGCAAAAGTGGTCATGTTTCCTCATCTGAGACGATCGCCAGATTCACCGACCAGGTCAGTGATTGTGCCACATTCATGTGGTTATCCATCGATCGATCGGCAAGGTCAGTGATCGATCCACATCCAGGTGGCTATCGATCGATCGACAAGGTCAATGATCGTGTCACATCTATGTGGCTATCGATCAATCGATCCAGTGTATCCTCTCTGGGCTGCTATATAAAAGTTGACCATTCCATCCTGTGACTGAAACATCTCAGTTTAGACAGCAGACCAACAAGGCTGATAGCCCGTTCCACCTCCCGAGAAGTAGATGTCATCCGAGCACCCGTACCGACTACAGCAGCCTAGTGTCAGCTGCAGTCCTGTGTGGGTACGAACTGATCCTTGTGGCGAAACCATGCAGGTGTTAATCTGTCTGCCTTCCACTTGCTCTTTTACTATCAGCCTCTCTGGTTTTTTTTTAAAATCAGTTCTAAAGCCAGGCGGCTTTCATTGCCATTTTCATCAATCTTCTGTATCGATCTTCGCGACCATCGGCATTTGCCTCGTTTCCTGGAAACTGCAGCCTCCATCATCGTTGTCTCTCCACACCACCACGGCGCGTGACATGTCCAGGAGAGTTCAGCTCTCGCGAGATTATCTTTCTAACCAGCCTGTTGTCCTTGATGTTCAGCCCATGCAGAATGTCGACGCTTTTCTTCTTTCTGGTCCCCGGTGTTGTCAGAATGTCGACGCTTCTGTTCTTCCTGGTCCCCGGTGTTGTCAGAATGTCGACGCTTCTCTTGTTCCTGGTCCAAGGTGTTGTCAGAATGTCGACGCTTCTCTTGTTCCTGGTCCCCGGTGTTGTCAGAATGTCGACGCTTTTCTTCTTCCTGGTCCCCGGTGTTGTCAGAATGTCGACGCTTCTCTTGTTCATGGTCCCCGGTGTTGTCAGAATGTCGACGCTTTTCTTCTTCCTGGTCCCCGGTGTTGTCAGAATGTCGACGCTTCTCTTGTTCATAGCCCCCGGTGTTGTCAGAACGTCGACGCTTCTCTTGTTCCTGGTCCAAGGTGTTGTCAGAATGTCGACGCTTCTCTTGTTCATGGTCCCCGGTGTGGTCAGAATTTTTCTGTAGTATTTTAATTCAAATACTCTTCTTCAAATTCTGAGTCAGCGTCCCTGACTCACATTCATAGATTGCCATTGAAAGATAAATGATCTCAAATTTTTTATTGTAACTTTTGCCATGGAAAGATAAATGATCTCAAATTTTTTATTGTAACGTTTGCCATGGAAAGATGCATGATGTTAAATTGTTGATTGTAACTTGCTTGCAGGTTCTATGACTTCTCATGACAGGTTCAAATATGTTTTTTTATATTTGAGAGTGCCTGTATGAACGTGTTCAATCTTTGGGGCTGCAGCGGTTACATTGGAGTCACCGTGTGACAGAAAGAACGGTGAAGTAAAGGACTCTTTTCAGCGCCTTCAGATGTATTGGGCATGTAGGGCTAGACTTATATTTTTCAGACTCTCGGCACTCAGGGAAGGGGGGATGGTTAACATTACGCCGGCCGCCTTTACCTCAGGAGACATCACCTGGTACACACTCAAGTCTGAGTGGGAAGCAGAAAGTTTGGCTGTCACAGAGGGTTTGCGCTTACAGTGTGAAGTTAATATAACAGCGATCGTTGATGGAAATATGGAATGGGGACATGTCAAAGTACACTGTGTGCTACAAGAGAATATGGACAGAATATGGAAACATGTAAAACCACTGTAAATACAATATTACTATACTGTATAAGGAAACATGGACAGAATATGGAAACATGTAACACCACTGTAAATACAATAATACTATACTGTATAAGGAAACATGGACAGAATATGGAAACATGTAAAACCACTGTAAATACAATATTACTATACTGTATAAGGAAACATGGACAGAATATGGAAACATGTAACACCACTGTAAATACAATAATACTTTACTGTAATAAGAAATATGCAAGAACACGCTTTAATACTACTATACTCCGTCCCTATGTGGGAAGCAATTTTTCGTTATTTTGAAGCCTTACCCTGGTTGTTGCCGCCTGGTTGTTGCCGCCTGGTTGTTGCCGGGGGGTCCTCATACAACGTAACGGTTGAAAGGGGTTTCTGGGACCTCCCCACGGGCGATCCTCGTCAGAATGGTAACACTTTGTGTCACGAGGTGCTTATCGCTCAGTGTGATGTCCTAGTGGGGTAAAATGTTAGTCAACACGCTAGAAGCAAAGAACACTAGAAATAAAGACCGCTATAAATAGAGAACACTGTAAATAAGGAGCACAACATTGGGTACATAAATATGAAGCACTAAAAATAAGAACAATAGAAATAAAGAACGCTATAAAGACCGCTATAACTAAAGAACACTGTAAATAAAGAGCACAACATTGGGTACATAAATATGAAGCACTAAAAATAAGAACACTATAAATAAAACACACTATAAATAAACAACGCTGTAAATAAACAATGAGCGCTATAAATAAAGAACCCTATATTGTATACGAAAATTTGCAAGAACGCTATAAATAAAGAACACTACAAATAAAGAACACTATAAATTAAATGCGGTGCCTGGCTATTTGTCGCACCCATACTGCTCCCCCTCCCCATCCCGTACTCGGTGTGTGCAAAGCAAACTCAAATGTTGTTTACCGTGGACATGTGGGTGTTAATTGCGTGGATTTTTTGTAATCGTTTCAACGCAGTAGTCAATTGTGTTGTAAGACCATATTTGTGAGCATAGCTCGTGATGCTCGCAGGAGAAAGCAACACAATTTGGGGTAAACATTATTCTCTGCCTACGCAATTGAAACCCTATAAAAGGATAACGCTACACCAAAACACTCATTTCATTTTCAAGCAGTCACGAATGGCACTTCTGTCGATAGATTTAAGGAATATTGCTATTGGCTAATTGCAGGCAGGAGAAAATGAAAGCCAGGTTGCCAGGCATCATAGCACCATCAGTCAACTTTGGCACCGGTCCCAAGCCACTGGTTCAATTAAAGACCGACATCGCAGTGGACGACCAAGAGTGACAAAGGCAGTCGAGAATTGATTTATTCGGCTTCGTCACCTCAGAAACAGGTTTACAACAGCTTCCACAACTGCACAGGCATTGCCTCCAGGACGTCATGTGTCTGATCAAACTGTTTGGAACAGACTGCATGGTGTTGGACTTTTTGGCTTGACGACCACACAGAGGACCTGTCCTTACGCGTTGCCACCGCCAAAATCGACTTCTTTGGGCCAACCAACATCGTTCCTGGGCAAATGACAATCAGTGGAGACGTGTCCGGTTCAGGGACAAACCTTTCTTTTTGTTGCAGCGTCGTGATAGACGGCGTAGTGTCTACCGTAGAGGAAAGGAAGGTTTAGCCCAAAATTGTGTTGATGAAGCTCTGCTGCACGTTGGTGGGGATATAATGGTATGGAGAATGATCAGTTACAACGTAAGGAGTCAACTGGTGCATACTGAAGGAAGCTTGAATGCGCAACAATACGTCAGTGAAATTCCTCGACCACAAGTCCTTCCATTTTAGGTTGCCTACAGATATATTCTTCAATAGGGCAACGATAGGTCCCATTTGGTACGGTTGACCACGCAGTTCCTGGGTGCCAGTAACATTCAAGTCCTTTCCTGACTATACCTGCAGACATGTCCGATTATTCACCTGTGGAATGAGTTGCAATAACGTGTTTGTCGCGGAGACGTTGCTGCAGCCAATTGTCCTGATCTGTTCCAGGCACTTCAGGAGGAGTGGGCAGCCATCACAGACCCACACCTGACAGCATCCATGCCTAGGAGATGCCAGTCACTGTTCCGCAGACCACACTAGTGAGCATGAACTGAAAGACTAAACTAACGGGAAAGGCCGTACACTTGAAAATATAGTACAGTGTCAGTTGATTGGTGGAACCCTTATTCTTTTGTGAAATTTAAGTAAATTCACTTATTTTATTACAAAGATAAACAGTGTGAAAATTGTGAGTGTGTGTGTTCAGTAAACTATAGGTTTCTTTTGTTGGTGTTTGTGTGCGTGCGTGTGCGTGCGTGCAAGCGCAGACAGTATATCTAGCAGACTGATGTGTTATGATTCACTTCTGCAGGAGACGGGACATTTTCATTTGAGGAGTTTGTACAGGTGATGGCCAACGTGGGAGGTCTCAGTGATAACAGTCAGGAGCACGAGGAAGAGGAGCTGAGACAAGCTTTTCGAGTACTGTCCTCGTTTACTGTGATGGTTCCCAGTAAACGTCTTTGCTCAACACACATCATTGTATCCTGTCGTCTATCGTATATCATGCATTATAGCATCTATTCTAGCATTATTATAGCATGTATTATAGCTTGTATTGTATCATTTATATACCGTGTCGTGTATAGGCTCTATATCATGTTATGTTGTATCATTTATATACCGTGTCTTGTATAGACTCTATATCATGTTATGTTGTATCATTTATATACCGTGTCTTGTAAAGGCTCTCTATCATGTTTTGTTGTATCATTTATATACCGTGTCGTGTATAGGCTCTATATCATGTTATGTTGGATCATTTATATACCGTGTCGTGTATAGACTCTATATCATGTTTTGTTGTATCATTTATATACCGTGTCTTGTATAGGCTCTATATCATGTTATGTTGGATCATTTATATACCGTGTCTTGTATAGGCTCTATATCATGTTTTGTTGTATCATTTATATACCGTGTCGTGTATAGACTCTATATCATGTTTTGTTGTATCATTTATATACCGTGTCGTGTATAGGCTCTATATCATGTTATGTTGGATCATTTATATACCGTGTCTTGTATAGACTCTATATCATGTTTTGTTGTATCATTTATATACCGTGTCGTGTATAGACTCTATATCATGTTTTGTTGTATCATTTATATACCGTGTCTTGTATAGGCTCTCTATCATGTTATGTTGGATCATTTATATACCGTGTCTTGTATAGACTCTATATCATGTTTTGTTGTATCATTTATATACCGTGTCTTGTATAGGCTCTCTATCATGTTATGTTGGATCATTTATATACCGTGTCTTGTATAGACTCTATATCATGTTTTGTTGTATCATTTATATACCGTGTCTTGTATAGGCTCTATATCATGTTATGTCGGATCATTTATATACCGTGTCTTGTATAGACTCTATATCATGTTATGTTGGATCATTGTTATTTTCGTATATCGCGGCTTGAATCATTTCGTCTAGCATGTCTTGTAGCATTTTGTCTAGTATACATGTATCATTTTGTCTAGTATACATGTAGCATTTTTCTAGTATACATGTAGCATTTTGTCTAGTATACATGTATCATTTTGTCTAGTATACTTGTATCATTTTGTCTAGTATACATGTAGCATTTTGTCTAGTATACATGTAGCATTTTGTCTAGTATACATGTATCATTTTGTCTAGTATACATGTAGCATTTTGTCTAGTATACATGTAGCATTTTGTCTAGTATACATGTATCATTTTATCTAGTATACATGTATCATTTTGTCTAGTATACGTGTATCATTTTGTCTAGTATACATGTAGCATTTTGTCTAGTATACATGTAGCATTTTGTCTAGTATACATGTATCATTTTGTCTAGTATACATGTATCATTTTGTCTAGTATACATGTATCATTTTGTCTAGTATACATGTAGCATTTTGTCTAGTATACATGTATCATTTTGTCTAGTATACTTGTATTATTTTGTCTAGTATACATGTAGCATTTTGTCTAGTATACATGTAGCATTTTGTCTAGTGTACATGTAGCATTTTGTCTAGTATATATGTATCATTTTGTCTAGTATACACGTATCATTTTGTCTAGTATACATGTATCATTTTATCTAGTATACATGTATCATTTTGTCTAGTATACATGTATCATTTTGTCTAGTATACATGTATCATTTTGTCTAGTATACATGTATCATTTTGACTAGTATACATGTATCATTTTGTCTAGTATACATGTATCATTTTGTCTAGTATACATGTATCATTTTGTCTAGTATACGTGTATCATTTTGTCTAGTATACATGTATCATTTTGTCTAGAATACATGTATTATTTTGTCTAGTATACATGTATCATTTTGTCTAGTATACATGTATCATTTTGTCTAGTATACATGTATCATTTTGTCTAGTATACATGTATCATTTTGTCTAGTATACATGTAGCATTTTGTCTAGTATACATGTATCATTTTGTCTAGTATACTTGTATTATTTTGTCTAGTATACATGTAGCATTTTGTCTAGTATACATGTAGCATTTTGTCTAGTGTACATGTAGCATTTTGTCTAGTATATATGTATCATTTTGTCTAGTATACATGTATCATTTTGTCTAGTATACATGTATCATTTTATCTAGTATACATGTATCATTTTGTCTAGTATACATGTATCATTTTGTCTAGTATACATGTATCATTTTGTCTAGTATACATGTATCATTTTGACTAGTATACATGTATCATTTTGTCTAGTATACATGTATCATTTTGTCTAGTATACATGTATCATTTTGTCTAGTATACGTGTATCATTTTGTCTAGTATACATGTATCATTTTGTCTAGAATACATGTATTATTTTGTCTAGTATACATGTATCATTTTGTCTAGTATACATGTATCATTTTGTCTAGTATACATGTATCATTTTGTCTAGTATACATGTATCATTTTGTCTGGTATACATGTATCATTTTGTCTAGTATACGTGTATCATTTTGTCTAGTATACGTGTATCATTTTGTCTAGAATACATGTATCATTGTGTCTAGTATACATGTATCATTTTGTCTAGTATACATGTATCATTTTGTCTAGTATACATGTATCATTTTGTCTAGTATACATGTATCATTTTGTCTAGTATACATGTATCATTTTGTCTAGTATACATGTATCATTTTGTCTAGTATACATGTATTATTTTGTCTAGTATACTTGTATCATTTTGTCTAGTATACATGTAGCATTTTGTCTAGTATACGTGTATCATTTTGTCTAGAATACATGTATCATTTTGTCTAGTATACATGTATCATTTTGTCTAGTATACATGTATCATTTTGTCTAGTATAATGTATCATTTTGTCTAGTATACATGTATCATTTTGTCTAGTATACATGTATCATTTTGTCTAGTATACATGTATCATTTTGTCTAGTATACATGTATCATTTTGTCTAGTATACATGTATTATTTTGTCTAGTATACTTGTATCATTTTGTCTAGTATACATGTAGCATTTTGTCTAGTATACATGTATCATTTTGTCTAGTATACATGTATCATTTTGTTTAGTATACATGTAGCATTTTTCTAGTATACATGTAGCATTTTGTCTAGTATACATGTAGCATTTTGTCTAGTATACATGTATCATTTTGTCTAGTATACATGTAGCATTTTGTCTAGTACACATGTATCATTTTGTCTAGTATACATGTATCATTTTGTCTAGTATACATGTATCATTTTGTCTAGTAAACATGTATCATTTTGTCTAGTATACATGTATCATTTTGTCTAGTATACATGAATCATTTTGTCTAGTATACATGTATCATTTTGAGTAGCATTTCGTCAATCGTGTTTCATTGTGTGTATCGTGTCTTGTATCATTTAGCGTATCATTTTGTGTATCATGTGTTGTGTCATTCTGTGTATCATGTCTTGCATCATTCTGTTTATCGTTTCTTGCATAATTTTGAGTATAATGTCTTCGTCGACGCGTGCATCGTGTCTTGTATCGTTGTGTATATCGTGTCTGGAATAATTTTGTGCATCATATCTTGCATCATTCTGTGTATTGTTTTTTTAAATCATTTTATGGGTCCTTTCTGTAACATTTTACATATATTGTCTTGTGTCATTTTGTGTATCATGTCTTATACCATTTTGCGTACCCTTTCTTATACCATTTTATGTATCGTGTCATTCATCATTTTGTGCATCGTCACTTATAACATTTTGTCTAGTATGTCTTGTATCATTTTGAGTATCTTTTAGTCTATCATGTATCATTTTGTGTATCGTTTCTTGTATCATTTTGTGTATATATTGTTTCATTTTGTGTATCATATCCTTTATCATTTTGTGTATATTGTTTTGCATTGTTTTGTGTAAAGTATCTTGTATCATTTTGTGTATCGTGTCTTATACCATTGTGTGCATTATGTGTTGTATCATTTTGTGTATAATGTCTTGTATCATTTTGTGTATCGTGTCTTGTATTTTCTATTTACTATTTCTTGGCGAAAAAAGTAGGGGAGGAGGGAGGAGGGCGGAGGGCGGGGGTGAAGGGGGGGGGGCTGAAACATAATTAGAGCACAATAATCATTATTATAAATTATTAATTCCAGTGTGTGTTTCAGAACTAACTTGTAAAAAAAAAAGTAAAGGATCCTTTTCCACGCCTTTAAACGTATAGGGCATATAGGGCTAGACCTATATTTTTAAAGACCAATCGGCACAAGATGGATGATGTGGTCAGCATCACGCCGGCCGCCTTTACTTCCCGGGACTGCACCCGGTACCCACTCAAGGCTGGGTCGACCTGAGAGTCAAAGTCATTTTTTGAAAATTAGTTCGGCTCCGCCAGGGAGCAAACCCACGATCTTCTGATCCGCGGCGAGCTTCTAGCCGCTTGGCCACGGCAACTCGAACTAACTTGTAGGGGAAGAATAAGAACAGACTGACTGCCTCTCCAACAAACATAGCGTAAGAACCGACTGAACGAGAGCTTCCTTCGAAGTAAGAGTGCATTTGTCTGAGAGGCTAAAAAACTATGGCTGTACCGAATGGTAATTTTCACTATTCGGCCGAATACAAATACGAATTCGAATAGTGTAACATCATCATTAGGTATCGATTAGCGTGGGAGAATATACCTCGCCACGTTCTGCGATCTCCTGCAGCATGTATTAGTTCGTGTGCTGACACACCTCCATGCCATGCAACAAGACTGCCACTAATTTTCTCTCGTTGTCTTCCTCTATCCCTCCTTTTACAGATCCTTCCAGTGGTTACATGTTCTATATTGCCTCTTCTCATAATATGGCAGAAAAATGATGGCTATCTCCTTCTGATGTCTGTGATTAGTTGTTTTCGGGCTCCTGCAACTTTCAAAACCTCTTGGTTGCTTTTTTGTGTGTGGCTGTCCAGGGTATTTTAAGCATTGTTCAGTAAAACCACATCTCTGAGGCCTCAAAAAATTGTTTGGTCTGCCTACCGATTGTCCAGGTCTCACAACGCAGTGCCTTTAAATATAAGTGCTTACTTGACGAGGCTAACAGTAACTATTGTACAGACCACATTTTCCACTTTAAAATTTCAGCCAAAATGTAATCACAACCTTACTTATCCGCTTCACCTTCACGAATACAGTTGGTGGATCAGATGCACCTTGAGATAAATACAAAGACAATTTTTAGCACGCTGCGGTTGGCATTTTATGCAGTATGATACACTTCAAGTGTGAAACAAGGAAAAAAATTTTTTCGACAGTGGCTAGGAAAGACAATTTAAATTTTAACTTTTAAGTATCTTCATGCATTTTTTAATAATGTCACAATTTATAGCCGACATTTCTTGATTCTCGCCGCGGCACCCCTGGCATACGCACACAGTTTGAGAACCTCTGCTGTAATGCCTCGGTCGGGCAGCAGGAAAAGACTTTGCCAGCTGCTGTACCACGCAACCGGGTCGCAGTTTCCCCCGTTACGACAGACTTAGGCAACAGCAACTATTGTGTTAATGAGAGTTGTTTCAGTCCACTATTCGGCTCCGTAGCAAATATTCGATACAGCCCTACTAGAAATCAACAACCTGGAGCAGGACTAAAGTCTGGAAGTGGACGAACAACCAGAACTTTCTGCCAGAGTTTAGAGCCGGTGGAGACGACACCTGATTGACTGAGTTGTTACTGTTCACTTTTTGCTGTTATTACAGTTGTCAAATATTTTTTGGTCAACACTATGCTATCAATGCCAAACGTGGACACTTACATCCTCCAATGAACGTAAAATTGTGACAATAGAGATGAAATGCCTTAGAAGAGCTGCAGGAGTTTCAAGGAAAGACATAATACGAAATCATGAAATCAGTTGAATGCTAGGAATAAAGCCAGTCTTACAGGTCATCAAAGAACAACAAATGAAGTGGTTTGGACACCTAACAAGAATGCCCTGGTACTATCCGCCACAGCGAGCCACGCTAAAACGTTACAACGGGTATAGAGCGAGTGGAAGACCTCGGAAAAAAATTTTATGATGGCATTAAGAACAACCTTACAGAAATGAACATCAGTCCTAATAGTGCTCTTGACAGAGCTCATCAACGAACATTACATCTCCCCCCGACGAGGTAAAAGGTGGAAGAGAAGAAGAAGAAGAAGAATTACAGTTGTCATTCCTGGTATGTCTTTACAGACAAGAGATTTAATCTCCACATACATTTTCTAGAAACTGATCCCTTATCACCTCACTTCAACCCCCCCCCCCCCCCCGCCATTGTTTGGACCTGTCGCACTTTATTGTATGAATTAGAATTCCCTAACACTCCCCGGTTCCCCACACTGGGAGATATGTGGTTCAGTTCTTTCCTTTGCAAAATTCACAGCGTTCCGGGCACACGAAATCATTCTGTTATTTCTTGTGGTTTTGTTTAATTTGTTTACACAGTTTTTTAATACCTTAATTTACTTTTTAAAGAGTCATTTCATTGTGTGTGCGTGTGCGGGTGTTGTACGCGCACTCACACATGTGCTCTTTGTTTGCCGATGATAGCTTGTTGTCGCAATGAAAGTTGCAACTGTTTGTGTACAGCTGACAGATACTTGCAATGTCTCCCATTTCACACCAACACTGTGTCCACTGTTGCAGGTGTTTGACAAGTCAGGCTGTGGCTATATCACCCCATCTGACCTCAGGGCAGTTCTCCAGTGTATGGGACAGGAGCTGACTGAAGACGAGAGTAAGATCTTCATGTGTTATTTGGGTGACAGTGACATTACAATAAAAATGTGAAGACACATACACACACGGTGTTGCATTATCCGTGAAGTAATAGTTGTGCCAACACTAAAGAAGCTTTGTCTTTGCATATCCTAATCCCTATATATTTCTGTCTGTCAAATGTCATTGTTCAATAATTATGTCTGTCAAATGTCATTGTTCAATATTTCTCAGTCTGTCAAATGTCATTGTTCAATATTTCTTTGTCAAATGTCATTGTTCAAATATTAGGAACATTTTAATGCTTTAACAGCTCATGAGATATCTGTGTTCCAACAACTGATGAGCTATCTGTGTTTCAATAGTTGATAAGACATCTATGGTCCAACAGTTGATGAGATGTTTATGTTTCAATAATTGATGAAATTATTATGTTCCAACAGCGGATTAGATGTTTATGTTCCAACAATTAATGAGATACAGTATCTATGTTCCAAAAGTTGATGAAATGTTTATGATCCAACAATTGATTAAATGTTCCTGTTCCAACAGTTGATGAAATGTTCCTGTTCCAACAGTTGATGAAATGTTTATGTTCCAACAGTTGATGAAATGATTGCTGAAGTAGATATTGATGGTGATGGCAGAATTGACTTTGAAGGTAGACATCATGTGTAAACATATCAATATTAGTTTAGAATAAAGACATGGCTGGTCTCTTCTAATGTGTTGATCAAACATTCTTTTATATTGAGTATGGCATATCAGGTATCTTCTAGAGTATCTTCTTGTAAGAACTTAGCTGGTGTCTTCTTGTGTGAGAGCGTAGCTGGTGTCATCTTGTGTGAGAGCGTAGCTGGTGTCTTCTTGTGTGAGAGCGTAGCTGGTGTCTTCTTGTGTGAAAGCGTAGCTGGTGTCATATTGTGTGAGAGTGTAGCTGGTGTCATATTGTGTGAGAGTGTAGCTGGTGTCATATTGTGTGAGAGTGTAGCTGGTGTCTTCTAATGTGTTGATCAAACATTTTTTTATATTGAGTATGGCATATCAGGTATCTTCTAGAGTATCTTCTTGTAAGAACTTAGCTGGTGTCTTCTTGTGTGAGAGCGTAGCTGGTGTCATCTTGTGTGAGAGCGTAGCTGGTGTCATATTGTGTGAGAGTGTAGCTGGTGTCATATTGTGTGAGAGTGTAGCTGGTGTCTTCTTGTGTGAGAGCGTAGCTGGTGTCATATTGTGTGAGAGTGTAGCTGGTGTCATATTGTGTGAGAGTGTAGCTGGTGTCTTCTAATGTGTTGATCAAACATTTTTTTATATTGAGTATGGCATATCAGGTATCTTCTAGAGTATCTTCTTGTAAGAACTTAGCTGGTGTCTTCTTGTGTGAGAGCGTAGCTGGTGTCATCTTGTGTGAGAGCGTAGCTGGTGTCATATTGTGTGAGAGTGTAGCTGGTGTCATATTGTGTGAGAGTGTAGCTGGTGTCTTCTTGTGTGAGAGCGTAGCTGGTGTCATATTGTGTGAGAGTGTAGCTGGTGTCATATTGTGTGAGAGTGTAGCTGGTGTCTTCTTGTGTGAGAGCGTAGCTGGTGTCTTCATGTGAGCATGACTGGTGTCTTCATGTGAGAGCATGGCTAGTGTCTTCTTGTGTGAGAGCATGACTGGTGTCTTCTTGTGTGAGAGCATGACTGGTGTCTTCTTGTGTGAGAGCATGACTGGTGTCTTCTTGTGTGAGAGCATGACTGGTGTCTTCTTGTGTGAGAGCATGACTGGTGTCTTCTTGTGTGAGAGCATGACTGGTGTCTTCTTGTGTGAGAGCATGGCTAGTGTCTTCATGTGAGAGCATGGCTAGTGTCTTCTTGTGAGAGCATGGCTAGTGTCTTCATGTGAGAGCATGACTGGTGTCTTCATGTGACAGCATGGCTGGTGTCTTCATGTGAGAGCATGACTGGTGTCTTCATGTGAGAGCATGACTGGTGTCTTCATGTGAGAGCATGACTGGTGTCTTCATGTGAGAGCATGACTGGTGTCTTCATGCGAGAGCATGGCTGGTGTCTTCATGTGAGAGCATGACTGATGTCTTCATGTGAGAGCATGACTGGTGTCTTCATGTGAGAGCATGGCTGGTGTCTTCATGTGAGAGCATGGCTGGTGTCTTCATGTGAGAGCATGGCTGGTATCTTCATGTGAGAGCATGACTGGTGTCTTCATGTGAGAACATGGCTGGTGTCTTCATGTGAGAGCATGGCTGGTGTCTTCATGTGAGAGCATGGCTGGTGTCTTCATGTGAGAGCATGGCTAGTGTCTTCATGTGAGAGCATGGCTAGTGTCTTCTTGTGTGAGAGCATGACTGGTGTCTTCATGTGAGAGCATGGCTAGTGTCTTCATGTGAGAGCATGGCTAGTGTCTTCATGTGAGAGCATGGCTAGTGTCTTCATGTGAGAGCATGGCTAGTGTCTTCTTGTGTGAGAGCATGACTGGTGTCTTCATGTGAGAGCATAGCTGGTGTCATCTTGTGTGAGAGCATGGCTGGTGTCTTCATGTGAGAGCATGGCTGGTGTCTTCATGTGAGAGCATGGCTGGTGTCTTCATGTGAGAGCATGGCTAGTGTCTTCATGTGAGAGCATGGCTAGTGTCATCTTGTGAGAGCATGGCTGGTGTCTTCATGTGAGAGCATGACTGGTGTCTTCATGTGAGAGCATGGCTGGTGTCTTCATGTGAGAGCATGGCTGGTGTCTTCATGTGAGAGCATGGCAAGTGTCATCTTGTGAGAGCATGGCTGGTGTCTTCATGTGAGAGCATGGCTGGTGTCTTCATGTGAGAGCATGGCTAGTGTCTTCATGTGAGAGCATGGCTGGTGTCTTCATGTGAGAGCATGACTGGTGTCTTCATGTGAGAGCATGGCTAGTGTCTTCATGTGAGAGCATGGCTAGTGTCATCTTGTGAGAGCATGGCTGGTGTCTTCATGTGAGAGCATGGCTGGTGTCTTCATGTGAGAGCATGGCTGGTATCTTCATGTGAGAGCATGACTGGTGTCTTCATGTGAGAGCATGGCTGGTGTCTTCATGTGAGAGCATGGCTGGTGTCTTCATGTGAGAGCATGGCTGGTGTCTTCATGTGAGAGCATGGCTAGTGTCTTCATGTGAGAGCATGGCTAGTGTCTTCTTGTGTGAGAGCATGACTGGTGTCTTCATGTGAGAGCATAGCTGGTGTCATCTTGTGTGAGAGCATGGCTGGTGTCTTCATGTGAGAGCATGGCTGGTGTCTTCATGTGAGAGCATGGCTGGTATCTTCATGTGAGAGCATGACTGGTGTCTTCATGTGAGAGCATGGCTGGTGTCATCTTGTGAGAGCATAGCTGGTGTCTTCATGTGAGAGCATGGCTGGTATCTTCATGTGAGAGCATGACTGGTGTCTTCATATGAGAGCATGGCTGGTGTCTTCATGTGAGAGCATGGCTGGTGTCTTCATGTGAGAGCATGGCTAGTGTCTTCATGTGAGAGCATGGCTAGTGTCTTCTTGTGTGAGAGCATGACTGGTGTCTTCATGTGAGAGCATAGCTGGTGTCATCTTGTGTGAGAGCATGGCTGGTGTCTTCATGTGAGAGCATGGCTGGTGTCTTCATGTGAGAGCATGGCTGGTGTCTTCATGTGAGAGCATGGCTGGTGTCTTCATGTGACAGCATGGCTGGTGTCTTCATGTGAGAGCATGACTGGTGTCTTCATGTGAGAGCATGGCTGGTGTCTTCATGTGAGAGCGTAGCTGGTGTCTTCATGTGAGAGCATGACTGGTATCTTCATGTGAGAGCATGGCTAGTGTCTTCTTGTGTGAGAGCATGACTGGTGTCTTCATGTGAGAGCATAGCTGGTGTCATCTTGTGACAGCATGGCTAGTGTCTTCATGTGAGAGCATGGCTAGTGTCTTCATGTGAGAGCATGGCTGGTGTCTTCATGTGAGAGCATGACAGGTGTCTTCATGTGAGAGCAAGGCTGGTGTCTTCATGTGAGAGCATGACTGGTGTCTTCATGTGAGAGCATAGCTGGTGTCATCTTGTGACAGCATGGCTAGTGTCATCTTGTGAGAGCATGGCTAGTGTCATCTTGTGACAGCATGGCTAGTGTCTTCATGTGAGAGCATGGCTAGTGTCTTCATGTGAGAGCATGGCTAGTGTCTTCATGTGAGAGCATGGCTAGTGTCTTCATGTGAGAGCATGGCTGGTGTCTTCATGTGAGAGCATGGCTAGTGTCATCTTGTGCGAGAGCATGGCTGGTGTCTTCATGCGAGAGCATGGCTGGTGTCTTCATGTGAGAGCATGGCTGGTGTCTTCATGTGAGAGCATGGCCGGTGTCTTTATGTGAGAGCATGGCTGGTGTCTTCATGTGAGAGCATGGCTAGTGTCTTCATGTGAGAGCATGGCTGGTGTCTTCATGTGAGAGCATGGCTATGTCATCTTGTGCGACAGCATGGCTAGTGTCATCTTGTGTGACAGCATGGCTGGTGTCTTCATGTGAGAGCATGGCTAGTGTCTTCATGTGAGAGCATGGCTAGTGTCTTCATGTGAGAGCATGGCTAGTGTCTTTATGTGAGAGCATGGCTGGTGTCTTCATGTGAGAGCATGGCTAGTGTCTTCATGTGAGAGCATGGCTGGTGTCTTCATGTGAGAGCATGGCTGGTGTCTTCATGTGAGAGCATGGCTGGTGTCTTTATGTGAGAGCATGGCTGGTGTCTTCATGTGAGAGCATGGCTAGTGTCATCTTGTGAGAGCATGGCTGGTGTCTTCATGTGAGAGCATGGCTGGTGTCTTCATGTGAGAGCATGGCTAGTGTCTTCATGTGAGAGCATGGCTAGTGTCTTCATGTGAGATATTGGCTAGTGTCATCTTGTGTGACAGCATGGCTGGTGTCATCTTGTGTGAGAGCATGGCTGGTGTCTTTTTGTGTGAGAGCATGGCTGGTGTCTTCTTGTGTGAGAGCATGGCTGGTGTCTTTTTGTGAGAGAACTTGCTAAATTTCTTCTGGTGGAAGAATATGTTTCTTGTAGAGTGTTGAATAATCCAGTGACTTCATAAGTATTTGGTGCACTAGCAACGCTTTATTTGTGCTCTCCTCCACAGAGTTTATCACATGTATGAGAAGTGAAGACCATGAGGAAGATGATGCAGTTTCGGGTCACAGCGAAGATGAGGAAAATGATGCAGTTTTGGGTCACGGCCAAGATGAGGAAGAGAGAAACGTCAAGAATAAGCAGGATGACTAAACAGACAGAGAGTTGATGTGTCAGACAGCTTCATTTCTGCACTTTGGGTGCCCAGTTTCTGCAATAAACAGGACTTTTTCATTCCATCCCAAGTTGTTTGTATCCACGTGATTGCGTCTGCATGACTGTTCATCTAAGATTGTACCTGTGTTTGTGTCTCTTTTATTGTATGATCATCCTTGTGTCTGAATGACTGTACATATAAGCATGATTGTATTTGTTTGTATGACCGTGCCAGCTGCACGTGTCAGCATGATTGTCTGTGTGATTGTGTTGGTATTGCTGTGCTTATCTGCATGACTGTACAGGTGTGACTGTGTCTATGTGAACACTTGTATCTGTGATTGGTCTCATATTTGTGCCACTGTTCTGTGTAGATGTGTTAACGTACATGTTTCTGGTCACAGCACATACATTCACACACACACATACATTCACACACACATACATTCACACACACACAGCCTCAGATATATCTAACTAAAATACAACTCAGATACATCGGGAGAATATTTTATTAGGAAGCTCCAAATTTCTTCTGTTTGAACGATGGGGGCAAACTCTCTTCAATCTCTGACGGCAGTCTCTCCACGGCCACCAGCATCCCACTGGAGGTGAAGCCAGCAAACAACAAGTACTGAGGACACCAAGAGAAACATTGTCAGCGAATCATATTTGTGTTCATCACACCTTCTGGAATATTTGTACTCATCACACCTTCTGGAATATTTGTGTTCATCACACCTTCTGTAATATTTGTGTTCATCACACCTTCTGTAATATTTGTGTTCATCACACCTTCTGGAATATTTGTACTCATCACACCTTCTGGAATATTTGTACTCATCACACCTTCTGGAATATTTGTGTTCATCACACCTTCTGGAATATTTGTGTTCATCACACCTTCTGGAATATTTGTGTTCATCACACCTTCTGGAATATTTGTGTTCATCACACCTTCTGGAATATTTGTGTTCATCACATCTGGAATATTTGTACTCATCACACCTGGAATATTTGTTTTCATCACACCTTCTGGAATATTTGTGTTCATCACACCTTCTGGAATATTTGTGTTCATCACACCTGGAATATTTGTACTCATCACACCTTCTGGAATATTTGTACTCATCACACCTTCTGGAATATTTGTGTTCATCACACCTGGAATATTTGTGTTCATCACACCTTCTGGAATATTTGTGTTCATCACACCTTCTGGAATATCTGTGTTCATCACACCTTCTGGAATATTTGTGTTCATCACACCTTCTGGAATATTTGTACTCATCACACCTGGAATATTTGAACTCATCACACCTTCTGGAATATTAGAACTCATCACACCTGGAATATTTGTGTTGATCACATCTTCTGGAATATTTGTACTTATCACTCCCATGGGAATTATATTTGGGTTTATCAAACCCGAGAGAACAATATTTGGTTTTTTTGCACCCTACGGAATAATATTTGGATCTATTTCACCCAAGCGCTACTAACATTTGGATTTATCACATTATATGGAATAATCTTTGGGTTCATCCCAGCCAATGAGTAATGTCTGGGTTTATCACACACTAGGGAGTAATTTTTGGGTTTATCACACACTAGGGAGTAATATTTGGGTTTATTATCACATCCAAGGGAATAATATTTGGGTTCATCACGTCTCAGGGGAATAATATTTGGGTTTATCACACAATGGGGAGTAATATTTAGGTCTATCACACACTAGGGAGTAATATTTGGGTTTATCACATCCAAGGGAGTAATACCTGGTTTATCACACACTAGGGAGTAATTTTTAGGTTTATCGCACACTAGGGAGTAATATTTAAGTTTATCACACACTGGGGAATAATATTTAAGTTTATCACACACTGGGGAATAATATTTGGGTTTATCACACACTGGGGAGTAATATTTAGGTTTATCACACACTGGGGAGTAATATGTAGGTTTATCACACACTGGAGAGTAATATTTGGGTTTATCACACACTGGGGAGTAATATTTGGGTTCATCACATCCAAGGGAGTAATATCTGGGTTTATCACATACAAGGGAATAATATTTGGGTTTATTGCATCCAAGGGAGTAATACCTGGGTTTATCACACACTAGGGAGTAATATTTGGGTTTATCACACAATGGGGAGTAATATTAAGGTCTATCACATACTAGGGAGTAATATTTGGGTTTATCACGCACTAGGGAGTAATATTTGGGTGTATCACATCCAAGGGAGTAATACCTGGGTTTATCGCACACTATGGAGTAATATTTGTGTTTATCACACACTAGGGAGTAATATTTGGGTTTATCACACACTAGATAGTAATATTTGGGTTTATCACACACTAGATAGTAATATTCGGGTTTATCACACACTAGAGAGTAATATCTAGGTTTATCACGCACTAGGTTTATGACATTCTAGGGGGTAATATTTAGGTTTATGACACCACCATCATCATAAAGAGTATCTGGGTTTGTCACAAGCCGTAAAAAAAAATATAAGCCGTAAAAAAAAATATATCATAAGCCGAAAAAAAATATATCATAAATCAAAAAACTGCCAAAATGAGAAAAAGGAGGGAAAAGAAAATTGTGCATGTTTTATTATACTAACAAAATTATTGTCATGATTTAAGATGTTATTTAACACAGAAAAAAAAAACCGTTTCTGATATGACATGAGAGTTAGAACAATCCTGCAGCATATGTTGTAGCTGGTCACAGTTGAGCCATGTGTGTAACATCTTGTCATCAGGACCCGGTGACTAGTGCTTAGCCAGTTTTGGCATCACCATTAGAAAGAAAGTACTGATGTATAACAAAGCTTATAACGGGCCACAGACTGCTGCCACAGACCGCTGCCACAGACCGCTGCAACAGACCGCTGCCACAGACCGCTGCCACAGCACTCGTGCAGCATCCATCATTCCAGCAGATCTTGTGAAATTATTATCCCAGTTTAGAAGATGGTCTGCTTTGCATGCTTCAGGTTAAGCTGGTTTAGATTTCCAAACTCTTTCTTACCAGTGCTTTCACACACCTGACAATATGTGGACATAACATGGACATCTGTGCAAAGTCCAGTAAGGACATCCACTGCACAGCCAACCACAATGTGGGATGTGTGGCCTCTCGTCAGCCCCAATGTAGAATGTGTGGCCTCTCATCAGCCCCAATGTAGGATGTGTGGCCTCTCGTCAGCCCCAATGTAGGATGTGTGGCCTCTCATCAGCCCCAATGTAGGATGTGTGGCCTCTCGTCAGCCCAATGTAGGATGTGTGGCCTCTCGTCAGCCCCAATGTAGGATGTGTGGCCTCTCGTCAGCCCCAATGTAGGATGTGTGGCCTCTCGTCAGCCCCAATGTAGGATGTGTGGCCTCTCGTCAGCCCCAATGTAGGATGTGTGGCCTCTCATCAGCCCCAATGTAGGATGTGTGGCCTCTCGTCAGCCCCAATGTAGGATGTGTGGCCTCTCGTCAGCCCCAATGTAGGATGTGTGGCCTCTCATCAGCCCCAATGTAGGATGTGTGGCCTCTCGTCAGCCCCAATGTAGGATGTGTGGCCTCTCGTCAGCCCCAATGTAGGATGTGTGGCCTCTCGTCAGCCCCAATGTAGGATGTGTGGCCTCTCGTCAGCCCCAATGTAGGATGTGTGGCCTCTCATCAGCCCCAATGTAGGATGTGTGGCCTCTCGTCAGCCCCAATGTAGGATGTGTGGCCTCTCATCAGCCAAGTGCCATCAAAGCTGACAGCAATATACAGCACATTGTCATGTAGAGTGGCGCCTGACTGCTGTGCATGGACTTGCCAAACATACTTCACGGTTTTAGAGAAAACCATGTCCCCCAGAACATACTTCACGGTTTTAGAGAAAACCATGTCCTCCAGAACATACTTCACGGTTTTAGAGAAAACCATGTCCCCCAGAACATACTTCACGGTTTTAGAGAAAACCATGTCCTCCATAACATACTTCACGGTTTGAGAGGAAAACCATGTCCTCCAGAACATACTTCACGGTTTTAGAGAAAACCATGTCCTCCAGAACATACTTCACGGTTTTAGAGAAAAACCATGTCCTCCAGAACATACTTCATGGTTTGAGAGAAAACCATGTCCTCCAGAACATACTTCACGGTTTTAGAGAAAACCATGTCCTCCAGAACATACTTCATGGTTTGAGAGAAAACCATGTCCTCCAGAACATACTTCATGGTTTGAGAGGAAAACCATGTCCCCCAGAACATACTTCATGGTTTGAGAGAAAACCATGTCCTCCAGAACATACTTCATGGTTTGAGAGGAAAACCATGTCCCCCAGAACATACTTCATGGTTTGAGAGGAAAACCATGTCCCCCAGAACATACTTCATGGTTTGAGAGGAAACCATGTCCCCCAGAACATACTTCATGGTTTTAGAGGAAAACCATGTCCCCCAGAACATACTTCATGGTTTGAGAGGAAAACCATGTCCCCCAGAACATACTTCATGGTTTGAGAGGAAACCATGTCCCCCAGAACATACTTCATGGTTTGAGAGGAAAACCATGTCCCCCAGAACATACTTCATGGTTTGAGAGGAAACCATGTCCCCCAGAACATACTTCATGGTTTGAGAGGAAACCATGTCCCCCAGAACATACTTCACGGTTTGAGAGAAAACCATGTCCACCAGAACATACTTCATGGTTTGAGAGAAAAACCATGTCCCCCAGAACATACTTCACGGTTTGAGAGAAAACCATGTCCCCCAGAACATACTTCATGGTTTGAGAGAAAAACCATGTCCACCAGAACATACTTCATGGCTTGAGAGAAAACCATGTCCCCCAGAACATACTTCACGGTTTGAGAGAAAACCATGTCCCCCAGAACATACTTCACGGTTTGAGAGAAAACCATGTCCCCCAGAACATACTTCACGGCTTGAGAGAAAACCATGTCCACCAGAACATACTTCATGGTTTGAGAGAAAAA